TCCAGCCCCGCCAGGGGTCCCGGGTTGGGTCACACTGGGACAGGGAGGGGGGTCCAGCCCTGCTGGGGGTCCCCGGTTGGGTCACACTGGGACAGGGAGGGGGGTCCAGCCCCACTGGGGGTCCCCAGTTGGCTCACAGGAGGATGCGGATGGGGTCCAGCCCTGCCAGGGGTCCCTGGCTGGGTTACACGGGGACAGCAATGGAGGTCCAGCCCCACCAGTGGTCCCTGGTCACGTCACACAGGGATGGGGATGAGGGTCCAGCCATGTTGAGTGTCCCTGGTTGCATCACATGGGGACAGGGAAGAGGGTCCAGCCCTCAAACTGGGGGTCACAGGGTGGGCAACATGGGTCCAGCCCCCCTCGCTCTCCCCCAGAGAACCCCTGTGCAGCCCCAGGGAGAGTCGCAGGAGCCTTTCGCCTCCCAGGTTTGGCATCCCGATGGCCGTCCCCTGCGCTGGGTGCTGTGGGGCACTGGCACGGTGGCAGCCCCTCGCCGTGCAGAGCCCTCTGCAGGCTGGGGGGGGCTGCCGGGGGCCACGCTCCCCTGGGGACAAGGAGCGGGTGGCCCTGGGGACGATGCTGGATCTGGCACAGGGACACAGCCCATGACGCGGGTCACATCGTCCAGTCCCAACACCGGGGAAACCACAAAGGCATGGACAAGCGGTGGGACAAGCCCGGTGGCCCTGGTCACGCTGCCTTCCCAGTTGCCCCATGTCCTCACGTGGTCCGGCCTGAGCGCAGCCCAGTGAGGGGCAGGTGGAGGTGGTTTTCCCATCAGTGGAGCGGGTGGAGGAGATTTAAAGGATGGCTGAGCCCTCCCTGAAAGCCCCTGGGGACCCTCCAAAAACCAGCAGCGGAGCTCCTCCGGGCTCCCAACTCCCTCCTGGCACAGCCGTGCCTCCCTCCGCCCCGGCTGGCGAGGCTGGGGCAGGCCCTGCCCCACAGCAGGACATCCTATTTATGCCCTAAAGCTGCTGCTGGCTGAACGCATCAGAAAATGAATTTATTTTGAGGGGGGGGGGAAGGGTGTTTACCCCGAAATGGTGCCGGTGGGCTCAGAGCAGCTACAGCGATTCAAACGGATGAGGAGTTGCCGCGAAGCCGGCGGTGTCTGGTTATCCCAAGCGAAAATTAACACGTTAGCGGAGCAGCCCGTGGTAATGTTTTGCCGTTTTGGGGGGGAAGCCGAGCCCTCGGGTGCCTTTCTCAGCACCGTGAGCTGACACCGGGCTCTTTCCGGGGCCTCTCCACCCCGTGCGATTGCTTATAAGTCGATTATAGCGCTTTTGTGAGTCTGCTCAACGTGTGTGGATGGAAAGCTAAAAATAATGCACTTGAGATTTAAAGAGCGGAGCCCGGGTGGGTTTTGGCCAGATGTGCCTGCTGCGACGCTGCAGGGTCCCCAGGTGAGGTGTGGGTCCATCTGCGGGGTCCCAGAGCCCCGTTAGGGAAGAGAGGGCAGTGCTGGAGGGTGAGTTGTCCCCTTCCACCCCTCTGAGCATCGCGGTGGTGTGAGGGCTCTGGTCTCACGTGTGGGGAGAGCACCTCCGCGGCCCTTCCCACCGGGGAAGCTGAGCTGGAGAGCAGCCGTGAGCTCCTGTGGTTCTTCACCCACCTCTGAGGGCTCTCCCGGGCGCATTGGAGAGCCGCGGGTGTCTGCACCCCACCGGGGCACTGGTGCGCTCTCAGCGGCACTGGTTTGTACTGGGAAGCAGGTGCTAGGGTGATGCCACGCTGGGTTGCATCTCCCCTGCAAACCCAGCACCGGCTGCTCTCCAGTGCGGTGGGGTCGGGAGCCACAGCTCGGCCACCGACCTGCTGCTACAGCACCGAGTGTCCCCATCGCTGGCAGGTGGGGAACGCACCTCCCGGGCATTTCTGAGGGGGCTGAGGAGAATAAATCAGTTTTCTGGCAGGATTCGAGCAGTGAGGAGGCGCGTGACGCACGAGTGCCAGCAGCCAGTTCCTCTGCGGGAGCGCGCCCGTGTTCCCCGGTACACAGCGGCCACAGCACGGCTGTGACGCAGCCCAAACCTGTCCTGCTGCTCCCAGGGTGACACCCGCGGCTGAGCCATCACCTCCCCTGTGCCCGGGCCAGCGGGGATGCTGCTGCGCTCACTGGGGACCCCTCTAGTGTCCTCCCAGGGTGGGCAGAACTCATGCCACCGGGGGTCCAGGAGCTGTGGGCGATGAACTCTCAGGCTGTGTGGGTGCAGCCCCTCGTGTCCCCCCCTCTTTTGGGGCCATCTGTCCCCAGCTACTGCATTCCCCGGGGCTGCGTCCATCCGTACGCGGGCAGAAGGTAACCTCCTCCCACCAAAATTTACCGGGAACCTGGGACAGCAGCGACGGGGTGAGACATCGAGGGCTTTGGAGACAGGGGTGGGTGCTGGGGAGACACCAAGGGTGGCAATGTTTCCATCAGCACCTATTGATACGGTTCCTACAGGGGAAGGCCAAAACCTGCTGAGTCCCAGCACGAGGCCCGTGTGACCCCAAGGCTGGTGTGACCCCAGCGGGTTATGGAAACACCTGGGCAGAAGGTAGCACAGTCCTCAGACATGGCTGCCAGCTCCTGCTGCAGGATCCAGGCTGATTAATGCTCCAGAACTGGTAACTCCTAAGGAAAAGCCCCAGGGACCTGCATTAACCCTTTGCAGGACATTTCTAGGTGGACCCATGCGTCTGGGTCCCTGCTCGGGGGCTTGAGGCACGGCAGACTGGTGGGCAGAAGGGACAAGAGCCCCGTCCGGGTACCGGGGATGAGGAGGTGCTGGCAGAGCTTGCGGGAGGGTGTTTGTGCGTGTCACTGAAGATGGAGAGTCGGTGAGGTCTGGCTGAAGGACAGGGGCTGTGGGAAGGTCTGGCTGGCCCAAGCCTCAGTGTAAGGTGGGGGAAGAGCG